ACCCATTTTATCCCTTCCACAGTAACGAGGTATTCCTTGGAGTAGTGCACTATTTGCTGGGAATCTCCTTTTATTCATCTTTAATTGCTGTGATATACCAAAACAGGACACAAGACAATCAATCTGAGAAACTGACTCACCAGATTGTGCCTGATGAGTTCTTTAGCAAATTCAAAGGGTGAAGAGGCGTTGTCCATCAAGCTTTTGAGTTCTGCCTGAAATAGAAAAAGGGCTTACCAAAGTAACAAGCATATAGTTCTTATTTTTTAGATTTATTTTGTTGTCATATTCATTACTTTGACTTTTTTGGTTCTCTCTGCAGCCCCAGCCCAGCACTCCTGAAGTGAGATGGGAGGCGGCACCGGTGTAACGGGCCGGAAGCTAGGTGGAAGGGGACAACCGGCTCCCGGAAGTGACCTCTCACCCTGGCACACAAACCCTGCTCACACACACACACACACACACACACACACACAATCCACAGATGGAATCTTTCTACCCTGGCACACAAGCCCTGCTCACACACACACACACACACACACACAATCCACAGATGGAATCTTTCTAACTCTGGCACACAAGCCCTGCTCACACACACACACTCACACACACACAATCCACAGATGGACTCTTTCTCACCTTGGCACAAAAGCCCTGCACACACATGCACACACACAATCCACAGATGGAATCTTTCTCACCCTGGCACACAAGCCCTGCACACGCATGCACACACACAATCCACAGATGGAATCTTGTGATCAAGCCTGAAGATTGAAATTCAATCCCCAAATCCATAAATAGGATAGATTCCTGCAACTTGTACACTGACATTACTTGTACAGTGTGCACACATGTACACACACACACACACACACACACACACACACACACACACACAGATAACAAAACATGGGTGGGGTGGAGAGAGAGCTCAGCTCTTCTAGAGGTCCTGAGCTCAATTCCCAGCAAAAACACAGTGGCTTACAACCATCTGTAGTGAGATCTGCTGCCCTCTTCTGGCCTGCAGACATACATGCAGACAGAACACTGCATACATAATAGATAAATAAATCATTTAAAATAAGATAATAAAATATGTTTACAGAGTCTTTTATGACTTAAAATAATCATGAAGGAAGAAGTAATCCCATGCCATTATTATGTGTTGCTGGTGTGCAGTGACTTTTCAGGGCTATGTCTCAGTGTCCATTGGATGTAGTGCTACCATGTGTTCAAATCTGTACAGTTGATAATCCGGTGAAGTCTTACTCTTCAGATATTGTTTAGATCAGGCTTGCTTTCTTTCTTCCCAGGTTTCTAATACTGGCTTACTGAACATATGAGATTGACAGGCAACCATAGAGCCATGAACAGACTTTAAAGGAAGAGGCTGAAGCATTGGTTTTAAACATTTATTATATATCATTTAGGTAAAACTATCTAGAATATACTAGCTACAACATAGATGATTCAGAAATGAAATTCCGTTTAGAATATCAGATTTTTTTAAAAAGAAGGTATTTTGTGGCACACCTTTTAATGCCAACACTTCAGAGGCAGAGGCAGGCAGATCTGTGAGGTCAGCATGGTCTACATAGGCAGTTGGAAGCCAGCCAGAGCTACAAAGTGAGACCCTGTTACAAGAAAACATGCTTATACAATTATTTGGTTACAGAGTCACACTGGTACTAACCAAAGAGCACTACTACCGAGCCATGGGCCCCAGAGTTTATGGCTAATTTGGGAACTGTTACAAAGTAACTCCCATTAGAACAGAACTAATTAGAAACACGTGTACATGCCTACCTCAGCTGCTTTGCCGTTGTAAAGGCGAAAGTGATTGCAAGCCTTAAGGTTGAGTGCGATGGTACTATCAGGAATTTGCTGAAGGTAAACAGCCAGGACTTCTTGGGACACATCATAGTAATCCAATTTGTAGTAGCAGAGGGCCACGTAAACATTGAGGGCCAGGTACTCCCTGTTAGCAGAAAGATTCAAGCTCAGGTATAGCTAGCTCACAGATGCGAATTCCTGATAAAATAATCAAATGGTTTCTAAGCATCTTTCTTTTACTTTATTTTATTTTGTTTTTCGAGACAAGGTTTCTCTGTATTGCTTTGGAGGCTGTCCTGGAACTCCCTCTGTAGACCAGGCGGGCCTTGAACTCACAGAGATCCGCCTGCCTCTGCCTCTGGAGTGCTGGGATTAAAGGCATGCGCCACCAACGCCCAGTTCCCTCCCTCTTTTCTAACGTCTCCCTTCTTCATGCCCTTCTTTTGTATGTGTGAACAGTGACTTTAATTAGGGTTACTTACAGAGGCCAAAGGTGAGGGGTTATTTATAGAGGCATGGGCAACTTTGCATCAGATACATAACCACTGCAGAAAATGTCCTGTCTCCTCCCAACGGTTATTAACTGCTTCTGTCTCCTCAGGTGAAGCCTCATAAGGCTCCTCCTACCCAGTACAATTAACTGTCTATGAGTCCTCAAAGAGGGACAGGGCTTTTTGAGCAACCCTCCTCCATGTGGGAATGATGAATGGCCCATTCTTGTGCAGGGAATCCTGGGTGCTAGGTATTTAAGAGTACCCAGAAAGCAGCATTTGTCAACCTACCACCCTGGCCTCTTATATTCTTCCCGATCTCTCTTCCTTTATGTTTCCTGAGACTTTGAAGAAGGGATACAGACGTTTCACTTAGAGAAAACCTCTTTGACTTGCTATGAAGATCTATAGATAATGCCACCCACTGCAAGTTTTTTTGGCCAAAGCTGACAGCGGTACTAGTCTATGGGTATAAATATAAACATTTAGAAGGCAATCTGGGAGTACATCATGCCCACACTTGGAACTGGTATTTTCATTTAATAGCATGTCTGTCTGTATACCATGTGTGTGCCTGGTACCCATGGAGACCTTAACAGGTCATCCTCTGCCTCCAAAGTGGTGGATTACAGCAGTATGCTGCCATGTCCAGCCTTAAATAATACATTCTTTTGTTCTTATTTTATAAATTATTATTACTTTTTAAGGATAGCATACAAAGTAACAGATTTCATTATGGCATTCTCATATATATGAATCATTATATTTTGTTACAAATTTTCCTCATCCTTCAAGGCCATAAATTTTCAATAAGGATAATATCATCTCCAATGGATAAAAAATTGACTCTTACGAGAAGGTGAAAAAATACTCAACTTATATGAAATCATACTCATTTTAAATAAACACACAAAGAGTTATCAGTAAACATGTCAGTATATAAATTTTCTGGAAAATTGGGAGGAAAAGTCAAAAAAGGCTCCTTACAAAGAAGGCATGGTAGCCGGGCGTTGGTGGCACACGCCTTAAATCCCAGCACTCAGGAGGCAGAGGCAGGCAGATCTCTGAGTTCGAGGCCGGGCTGGACTGACAACCTCCAAAACAATACAGAGAAACCCTGTCTCGTAAAATCGTAAAACCAAACAAAAAAAAAAAAAAAGAGTACTGGCTCCTCTTCCAGAGTACCCAAGTTCAAGTCTCAGCACCATATGGGAGCTCATAACATATGTAACTCCTCCTCTAAGGAAGGTGATGCCCTCTTTTGGCCTCCACAGATACCAGACACACATATGGTACACATACTTGTAAGCAAAACACCCATACACACAAAATAATAAAATTAAAAACAAAAGCAACAAAAGGAAAAGGGTAGACAAAGTCTGATGTCAACGATAATCAAGGAGTTCTTAGCCTCATCATCTTATCAGTGAAACAGACTTTAAGACGTGGTGGTAATAGGACTGGAGGACACTGGGTTCTTAACCAAACTAGACACAAAGGACACTAGTGAGATGGCAGTGATTGTGAGTGGGCAGAAAGGGACACAGACCTGTTGTCCAGCAGTATCCGCTTGTATATATCAATAGCTTCTTGGTAATGGGATCGCATGTAGTGGATTGAGGCCAAACTAAGCTGGTCTTCTTTGATATCCTGAAGATTCTGGTGAAAGTTCATCAATTTCTTCTCATCATTAAACTACAATTGTGAGAAAAGAGCCACATTGGTGTGAGAGGGAAGCTCATGTGATGGAGGTCTCACGGGTCACTGTGCCCCTACTTCTCCATTTCCTAACCCCTCATCTCTCTGTCCTGCTATAGAGAAAGATGCAAATCATCTCTGGAGAAGAGCCTTGGCAACAGAAAGACCGTAAGTTATAGTTAGGGTTAATCACTTCATATCTCCCCCCTACTCATTTCTTCTCCTTACGTTTGTCTATCTCCTCCTCCTTCTCCTCCTCCTCCTCCTCCTCCTTCTTCTCCTTCTTCTTCTTTTTCACATTTCTTTGCCCTCATCCCTTAACAATTCTTTCCCATTCTTTTGTATTTTCTTTGGTGAATAGTATGTAATCAAATGTATTTGTCATCATGTAACTTTATGAACACAGTTTTAAATTTCCTGTTCTGGGTGTTTTATCTTCTCTTCAGTTACCACACGTGGGATTTTTGTTTTAGGCTGTGAGAATTCAACTTTTTTTTTTTTGGTTTTATGAGACAGGGTTTCTCTGTATTGTTTTGGAGGCTGTCAGTCCAGCCCGGCCTCGAACTCACAGAGATCTGCCTGCCTCTGCCTCCCGAGTGCTGGGATTAAAGGCGTGCGCCACCACCGCCCGGTGAGAATTCAACTTTTATGTTTATTTTATTAGAAGTATGGGGTAGTTATGAGGGGGGTAGTCTACTGAGTGAGTTCCATGACAGTCAAAGCTACACAGAGAAACTCTGTCTCAAGGGGGAAAAAAGGTGTTATAAATAGCAACTGCCTTTGTTTATACGTGGGATTGAACTGACATATTTTGTGTATAACTCCTGATATATAGACTATTCACCCCTTCCTGGTGTTTCAAATCTTTTTTTATTTTTAAAAGGTTCATTTGTGTTACTTTTGTATGTAAGGGTGTTTCCCAGCATGTATGCATGTTAATTTTATATGTAAGGGTGTTTCCTAGCATGTATGCATGTTATATATGTATGGGTGTTTCCCAGCATGTATGCATGTTAGTTTTATATGTATGGGTGTTTCCCAGCATGTATGCATGTTACTTTTATATGTATGGGTGTTTCCCAGCATGTATGCATGTTATATATGTATGGGTGTTTCCCAGCATGTATGCATGTTATATATGTGTGGGCGTTTCCCAGCATGTATGTATGTACATTCGGTGCCCATGGAGGACAAAGGAGGACACTGGACCCTCAGGAACTAGAGTACAGACTTTAGTTCCCGGGTGCTGGGAACTACAGGCAGCAAGTGTTCTTACCAGCGGTGCCTTCTCTCCTGCCTCCTGAAATCTTCTTTTAGAGGATCTGTTTCAAAGACCAGGGACTAAAAGAAAACCGCCTTCAGTGGGCGTGGTGGCTCATGGTTGAATGCTCAGTCCTCACTCACTGAAACTGATTGGGAAGGATTCGGAGGTGTGGCCTTGTTGGAGTAGGTGTGGCTTTGGAATGGATGAGACACTAGAGGTGAGCTTTGAGGTTTCACAAACCCAAGCCGGGACTTTGTCTGCCTGCTGCCACGGATCAGGATGTAAAGCTCTCAGCTACTGGTCGCAGTGCCATGCCTGCCTGCCTTCCCCATGATGACCACAAACTCACTCGGAAGCTGCAGGAAACCCCCAACAAAATGCTGTATTTTCCAAGATTGCCTTGGCTGTGGTGTGTCTTCACAGCAGTAGATCAGTGACTAAGACAGTAGGGTGCAAGAAGCAGGGCCCTGCTCTTCTTCAAGGAGATAAACCCCTGTGTCCCACCTTCTAAAGAAAGACTGGGTCTTCAGCTCCAGGGATGGCTACCCTAAGCTGCTACCTAAGACCCCGGATCAAAACATTACCCTAATATGTCAGATAAGCGTCCAGATGCCCAGCAACTCTTAATGCGACACATGAACACATTAACTTTCTTTCCAAGGCTTTGTTTTCTGCCTTAGTCAGTAACCCAGAACTCCTTTCTAGACAAAGCTGGGTACTAACCAGTGTTAAAGGGAATACCCGAAACCAAAGGAATATTTTTGTTAGCCCTGTCATGGGATTTAGCCTACATACAAGAATATAAAATACAATTCCTAGAGCCTCCCCTAAAGGTCTCAAGCTAGACCAATTAATTAAGATAGGTGGGATACTTAAAAACATTA